AGAAATTTCACTACTTTGCTAAGACCAAAGACTGTCTCTTTTAGGACTGAAGGGCCAGAAAGGAAAATGGTTTTGGCAGAGGAACCAAAAAAATCAGAGGATGATTTGAAAAGTATGAGCATATGCAAATCAGTAGGTCCCAGTGGCAAACACTCAAGAGTGCATTTACTAAACCCTTAGGTTATTCATGAAAGACAGAAAACCTAAATAAACCAAACTACAAAACGGGCCACCTGAGATTCAAGGACATGTGACTCAGAAGGGATGTCAATTAGAAAAATAACAGACTAAATCAGAAGGAGCTAATGGAAATATGTACAATATCCAGCAGGGTTTAATTAAAGACCCAAAGACTCTGACAAACGTGATGGATAGCTTTGGATAGCTATGTGAATTTGGTGGATGAAAAGACCACCGTGGCTGATATATTTTAGATGTCAGTGAACCATTTTATACAGTGCCTCAAAAAAATATATAACTAGCAAAATGAATTCATTCTAAATGGCTACCCCGGATAGCATAGGCTGAAAAACAAACAAAGGGTGATGATAAAGACGAATCAACAAATTCAGGAAAGAAAGCATCCAGTGAATGCTAAGGACACTGGCTTATCGCTGATCTCACTTAATACCTTAATTCATGTGCAAGAACATACGGAGTGTTGAAAAGGACAAAGGTTACTAAATGGGGAAGGGCGGTGAACAGCAATAGAGAAAGAGAAATAATGTAAAGGACTCCAGAGAATTTAGAATTATAGGCAGCAAATAACATAATGAGATTCATCTTAGAAAAACCTAAGTGAATTTGTCTGGAAGAAATTCTAACCTCCTCTATTCAATCGTTGGGAGAAATCTTAGCATAGCACTGGTAAAAATAGTCCGCGAGGAGGTACGTGGGAAGGGGGTCAGGGTGGGAGAACAGCATGGAACGACGGCACTTTTTCACTTCCTGGAGAAAAAAGTACCAGCTATAGGGTGAGCAGGTGGTAATAATCCCGTCTTTGTTGTACTTCATAGTTCTGTATTGCTTTATATCATAAACCAATTGAAAGAAAATCAGAAAAGAGCATCAAATGGGATTAAAGGGACAGAAGGTTGGAGGAAAACAGAAGATTAAAAGAGATTCAGTCCAATTTTTGCTCAAATGTCAGCTTATCAATAAGTGAGGTTTTCTCTGACCACCTTATCTAAAATGAAACCTGCACCATGCTCATCACACTCTGTCCTTTCACTGAGCTTCACTCGTCTGTGTAGCACTCATCTCCACTTAAAAAATACATATTTCCAAAATAAATATTTTATATATTATATATATTTTTAAAATGTACGTATATACAGTTAGAGACACAGCATAGTAGAGTGGAGCCAGGGCCCTGGGTTCGAATTTCAGTTCTGTCTCTTACTATTTGTATGATCTTGGGCAATTGATTAATCTCTCTGAGCCTTATTTTCTTCATTTGAGACAGGAAACAGTAATATGGGGTTGTTACAAGGATCAAATGAGGAACAACAGAGCAAGTGTTGCATAAGTGTTTATTACAAAAAGAAATGTCTCCTTCCGCTCCTAGAAAACAGGCCTGTAAGCGCAGGGATGGATTCTGCATCCTTGTTACCCTTGGCCTGAGAACTAGGCATCTAGTGGGTGTTGAATAAATGAAAAGGAACGAATGAATGACAGTCAAGTCAGTCAATCTCATTAAGTGACAGAGCACAATGTCAAAAGCACTCTATGATTCTTTGACCCTGGGAGGGGAGGAACTATGAATAAAATAGTTGCTCCCTATAAAAGGCAAAGGGGTATTCTGACATAACTCTGAGAAGGAGACGTGGAGCACCCTGTGTTTGGGATAACTAGTTGCACAGGGGGAAGAGATCCATTTCTGGCTAATGATCTACAATCCTCCCCAACTTTTCTTTCATTCTCTGGTAGAATTAGACACGAATCCCATATCTTTTCCCTGACATGTATAACCTTGGAAATTTCTTGGTCTATCTGAATTTCAGTTTCTTCATTTACACAAGGGGGTAAATAATATAACATCACTGGTTAGGTCTGAGGATTAAATTAAATGACGTGGTAGGAAACGTGCATGTAAAAATGGTAAAGTAACAGTTAAATTTTATTACACTCTGTACTGGCCACATAGACATCACCTCTGTGGATCTTCACTTCTCTACAATTGTATGCGGGATCACATCTTCCACAGTGAAATGGTTTTTATTAATCCTTCCCTCTCGACTCAAAAGAGGGGTTTCTTTTCTCTTCTTTTTTTCCCAAGATTAACCCTGTGCCTTTGATCAAATCTCTCCCAATGCCTTTAGGACCCTGCTGGGGTTTTGTTTTATTTTGTTTTGAACTCTTGTATTTACCCCTTTCACTGGTTCTTTCATGTCTGTCTTCAAATATCTTTATGTTTCTCAAACTTTGAAAAAAAAAACAAAACCAAACAACAAACCTCAAGCCCTTCGTGTGATCCTGTGCCCTCTCCATCTCTCATTTCTTTTGTTTTCATTGTTGAATTTCTCAAAAAAAATCATTTATATTCACTATCTGTCCTTCTAAAGTCTCCATTTTGTCTGACACTATATTCAAAAACGTCACCAAAGACATCCTAGTGGACAAACACAATGGCCTTTGCTTAGTCCTCTTCCCTTTGACAGTTTTTCATCCTATACTCAACTCTCTTTGAGCCACGTTATTTAGATTCTTCTCCCGGCTCCCTCAGCTCCTTCGATTTCTTTACTGGCTCCCATTCTGCCTGCCCTCTGCGGGCCTACTCCCAGTCAGGCGCTGGCCCTTTGTTCTTCTCTCTTTGCTTCCAAAAGTCTTATCTGTACATGAGATGTTCTCTCTCTTCCTCTCAAGATCTGGTCCCTCCATAAATCAAAACTTCATTTTCACTAATTTGCAGACATTTCTACCAGATGCCCTCATCACATGGCTTCCCTAACTTCCAAATTTTGCTTAACAGAATTATAGCTTGCAAAACCTCAAAATGTCAGTGCCACTTTTGAGTCTTTGCTCTTTATTTCTCTTGCCTGCTGATCACCAGGTCTATGGATGTAACATCCGGTATATTCATTTCTTCTTTCCAATCTCATGATCACAGATCTTAATCACTTCTCATTGGGTTATTACAATCATCTCCTACTGGGGTCTCTCACAATCACTAACTCCTCCCAGACTAACCTTTTCCAGCTCTAACTAGATCATATCACTGTTCTGTGTTAAAACAACAACACTTGCATGAACTTGCGTGTTCACTAGTTCTGATAGGATCAAGTCCAAACTCCTAAGACTGACATCCAAGGCCTTTTAAAGATTTGGCCCCTATTTCACCTTTTCTCCTATTTTCCCCCTGCATCAACCTATTTAAGCCAAACTGAGCTACTCAATATCTCTTGAACATACTTAGTACTTTTTAACTTTGGGTTTGTGTATCCAAAGCCTAACCAACCTCCAAGAGTTTCCTACCCTCTAGAAAGCTATCTCGAGCAATTTCTTTCTTCTCTGTTACTTACTGTAAAGGTTGCCTATTTAACATGTATCATTAGAATAGTATCTGTTTCTTAAAAAAAAATTACTAAGATTCTTTTTGAACTGGTGATCCACTAAAAAAAGTTATTAGGGTATATACTTATTACCTGTGTGACCTTGGGAAAGTTATTTAACCCCTCTGGGCCTCAGTTTCCACATCCATAAAATGAGGATATTGATAGTACCTACCTCATAGGGTTGTTAGGAGGATTAAATGAGTCATTATCTGTAAAGTGCTTAGAACAGTACTTGGCACATAATACATAGTGTTTGTTAAACAAGCAAAATAAAAGGTACGAAAAAGCATACAATACAAAGTCCCTTTCCTACTCCCATCTCCTAGCTGTTACTGTGTTCCTTTCCCAGAGACACTCACTGTTACTAGTTTCAAATGTATTAGGGTACCCTTCTAAATACATTTTATACATATACAACCACAGTTGTGTGTGTGGTGTGTCTGCATGTGTGTGAGTGTCTGTGTATACACACACACACATATATTTAAAGAGAAATCGTGTTTACATGCTCTTCTGTACCTTGCTTTTTTCCGCTACACAATATATCTTAGAGATGGTTCCATTTCAGTACACATCGACCTGCCTCACTCTTCTTAATGGCTGCAGAGGATTCAATCATATGGATGTACCATAATATCTATTTATTATCTTCTCCATGAAGGCAGGTTTCTTGATGACAAAGACTATGTCTTATGACTCTCTATAGCATCCTCCATGCTTATACAGTACCTTTCAAAATTCTATTTTTGTTCATTTGCTCAACAATTACTACCAGGGAGTAGACAGTAGGTACTGTGGATACAGAAATGAGTAAAACATAGTCCTTGCTCTCTGGAAATGCAAGGTCTGGTGTGACAGTGGCCATGTAATTACAGTAATGTGACAGTGGTTGTAATAAAGCTACAAATGAGACTCTCTAAGATCAAGCACAGGAAGGGTGTATCCTTCTTAGAGCAGCCAGGAAGGCTTTTTGGAGGAGACATTAACGATGAGGCAAACAGGAGGGAAAGAAAGTACTCGAAAAGCGAAGGAAGTGGAATGTGTGAAGTGGGCGGGAAGGTAGGAAGGATATGATATTTGGGGTGAACCACGAATGCGTTATTCCTCACTGGAGTGCAAGGGATGTGTGGAGGGGGAAGGAGGGACAAAAGGTTAGTAAGGCAAGCGGGGCTAGATCACAATGGACCTTGTGTGTCAGGCCGAGGACTTTGGACTTTCATAGGGGGAAGGAGGGGATGGAGGGTGAGACTGACTTAGAGTTGTTAAGCTTTTATTTTGCCTAGGTTATTAAGACAAAACAATGATCATCTATTATTACTAGTATTTTAAAAAAGAAGGTATTTTAATACTCCTCAAGCAGAAAGGAAATAATCTCGAACAAAAGTCACATTTTTTTTTTTTATTGGAAACTCACTACAATGTCATCATTTTTCTAATTTTCCTAAGGATGAGGACACTCTAGCTTCAGTTTACACCCTGGCATTTGCGAACCAATGCTGTACTTGATGGGGAGGAACCTGAAGATAGAGAGTTCTCGAAAGAAGTCAGACATGATGACAACTGCAGCTGCAGGGTGAAGGATGGACAGAGAAGCAAGAGAGCCTTCAGACTGTCGGCCTGCCCCGCTTCTTGGTTCGCTCCACTTCATCTCCTCTATCAGATCAAATCAATCTTCTAGGTTTCCTCACAACTCCATGGCTCCAAGCTTCTAGCTGAACAAAATCAACCTCAAAGAGGGAGAAGGGTGCCAACATCTCAGCAGAAAAACACTTCTGGGCTCTCACCTCCAGTACCTTTCATTCGGGTCAATCCTGGCATGGAACTATTACAGTACACACAACTGGACTGAGGTGAGGCAGAGAGGAAAGGGAAGGCTGGCAGCAGGAACAGAGAAAGGCAAGAGGGACACCTCTTCCCAAAAGGCACCTCCTATCACTTCTCCTCCATTGGTCTGGTTGAAATGTGAGGGAGGAGGACCTAAGATGCAAATAATTTTATAGATATTTTAACTATAAATTAGGAGTACAATCACTATTTCATCTAATCTGTTGACAACCACACACAACAGGCTTGATAACCCTAGTTTGGCAGATAAATAGAGGGTCTGAGAAGGACACAAGTCTTCATGTGAGAGACCCTGGATTCAAACCCTGGTCCATCAGATTCTCTACTCCAGTTATGGGGAGCCTGGGGGAGCAGCAGTAACTCAGAGAGTCATAGGACACAGCAAGAACTTACACCAGATTCTTAGTTTAGAATCAGGATTTGAGTCTGGGGAGGGCGTCTGGAGGGAAAATGAGATACAATAAGATAAAATTAACCACAGGAAAATACGTTCTGAGAGTTGAGCAGAGAAAATCAAGCACAGAGGGACAGAATAGCATTTTTTTTTAACTGGCCCTTTCCATATTAAAAGACTAATACTGAACCTGCTCAACAATGCCATTCTCCTAAGTCTATATATAAAGAACGGGCCTTTGATGGGGAAAATATATATAGCATTTGCATTCTTTTTTAGGAAGAAAAAAGTATCGGATTTGAAAAACCTCTCAGAAAGGGCAACGTTCGACGAGGAAGGTCTTTGCGCACTTAATGCCTCTATTTAAATGCTAATGCTAACCTATAGCTCTGGGCCATGCAAAAACTAAAGTTTTTCAAAGAGCATAAAGTGAATTTAAAATGAAAACTTAATTTCTTGAATAAAAGATTTTTATTTCTGCAGAGAAGCTGACACACAGAATTTCATGAGAGGAACACCCTTCTGATCAGGGTAAAAACCAGCCGGCGACACAGCAGGTGAGTTTAATGGCAGGAACAAGGGCAGCCTCTGTCACAAATGGGGGTTTCCCCTCAAAGACTTGCCTTAGGAGCTCAACGTTTGCTACAAAATATACCTTGCAGAGGGTGATGCTTTTTTTCTTCCTCTTTAATGGCCTGTGCTGAGTGAATGCTCTTGTTTGGAAGAAAAGCTCGTGACCAAGGCAAGGTGGAGGCACAAGGCCTGGGGTCACTTGGCTCAGAATAGCGAAGAGGACACAGAGTACTGGGTGAGGGGCTCCTGAGAGGTTTAGCATTGCTTATTTCCCATGGGAACCAAATGTAATGAATGCAGTGACTGAGGCCCGGAGTGCTGGCGAACCGTCTGTTCTGAAGTCAGAATTCGGTGGAGGCTGGGAGACCACACGCCGTATGTGAGTGCGCAGGGAACTGAACTCAGAAAAATACAACTAAACAAAATCGGGAAATACCTGTAGTGGGGGTAATGACTAGGAAGTGGATAGAAAGAGGCTTCCGGGGTGATTCTAATATTCTCTATTTTTATCTGCATGATGGTTATATGGGTGTATTCACTTTGTAAAAAGTAATCAAGCTGCATAGTTAACATTTGTACAGCTTACTGTATATACGTTATACTTCAATGCAAACATATTACCTTCCTCCTCCCTATCCCAGCAAAAAGAAAGAAAAAAAAAGAGACCAGGCAACAGGCTATGTGTTGGGGTGGGTACTTGGATATATTTTTAACTCAGTTTCATATCCTAACATTAAGACAAATGCTAATTTTATGAACCTTGAAAACATTATGCTAACTAAAAGAAGCTAGTCACAAAAGACCCCACGTTGTATGATTCCCTTTATATGGTATGTCCAGAATAGGCAAATCCACAGAGACAGAAAGTAGATTAGTGGTTGCCAGGGGTGGGGCTGAGGGAACGGGGAGTGACTGCTAATGAATACAGGGTTTCTTTTTGGGGTGATGAAAATCTTCTAAAATTGGCCAGTGATGACGGCTGCACAACTCTATGACTACACCAAAAGAGCCAATGACTTGCACACTTTAAAAGGGTAAAAGTTCATGCTATGTAAATTATATCTCAATAAAGCTGTTATCAAAAATGCTAATTTTATGAACTAGAACCCTGATTTCTTAACTATACTGAAGATATACATCCACAGCCAATACTGTTGTGAAGATTGATCCATTAATCAAGACATTTGCTGCTGGTCAACGCTCTCCTGTGATATTTGCAAGAAAGATCCTGTAAGCTGACAGATAAGAAACATTTCCACCAGCTCACATGTTCACTAAGTGGCCCTGAAACGTACTAAAGCCATTTCTCAGGGTTCTATACTTTTGTAGGTTCTGTGATCCCCCAGCATCTTTGCACTAAATGCCTTTGAACTCCCTCCATTCTTATATACTATTCTCAACAAAAATTTATGACAACTAATAATGAATAACCCCTACTAGGACAATAAGTTTGAATTGGGAACAATTCTATGTGTCTGATTACAGAGTGACAGAAATGTAATTGAGCCAAAGATTCACTAAAGAGTATATTACTGTTTTTATTAAAGGGAATGATTAGTATTTATTTAACAATTACTATATGCCAGGTACTTTTCCTGATTTCATCCTCACGATTAAGGGTCACAAAGGCTAAAAAGCTAGAGTCCTCTGGCTGGTTAACAAGAGGCAGGTTGAATTCTGCCTACATCATATACTACCCAATCACACCTCCCTCAGATCACGCCAGGACAGCTCTGAGTTGGGCTGTGGGAAAACAGTTTACACTCAGAATCAAACTTGGGGAGAAAAACGTTTACTCATGATCAAGAGACCTGTTGAGATCATATTTGTGACAGCCCTATGCAAACTGTAAAATGCTATACAAATACACATATCTGGCAAGATTGTATTAATATTATTCTAGCCCGGGTATTGGGTGGGAGAAAAACTAGAAGCTGAGGGGCAGATGACCGCTCACGGGGCGAATGCTGTGCTCACTTACACTAAGAGAAAGTGGGAAATGAAACTTCTTGCCATTATCTGCTCTTTTACGTGGCTGACCTTCAGATCTTTATTCATGGTAATGAGTGACTCTTCAAGGTTGAGTTGAGGCTGTACTAGGGAGGAAGGCAGGGCGGGATGGCCTGTGGTCTCAGCGGGTACAGATTTAAAGAAAAAGTATGTTGATCCTTAATAGGAAAAGTCGAAAGTTATTCAAAAGGCAGCATAAATAGCCCAGGAACCTGAACCGGGTTTTTCACAAATACTGCAAAAGAAGGTGGTAGGAAAGAGCAAAAGGGCTTATTCCCATTTCCTTCACACTTGCTACCTTCAGAATTAGCGTCTCATAATTTCCACTGCTTTCAAAAATCTAGTGAAAACGTTCACAGCGCTTCACATATGGTCTAGTGGGGCTCGGTCAGCACGCAGGATGTAACCTACTGATTACTCTCCTGTGGCCTCAGGGAACTGCTGCTCTCATGACCTGAGCATCAGTGGAGAAACGAAATCAGAGGAAGGTGGTAGAGAGGATTACTTGAGGTTATCCACGAGTCAGAAGTAGAGTTACGATTAAACCCACTCTGCCTGAACCCCCAAGTTGCTGATCTAGTCACTCGACCACACTCCATCATTGTCCAGGCCAGTGCTCCTAACCAAGGTTACCCTAAATACCCTGCTTCAAATCAGCACTGCTGTATTGGAGCTGCAGACACTATGCAGGGCAGTGTGGAAACAGACAAGGAAGAAACAAGTAAGCCTTCGGTCTGTCCTTTCTGCAGTGAGGCTGTTCTGGCCAGTTTCCTGCCTCTTCTCTCCGCACTTCTCAACACTTCGTCTAAATTCACAGGCACAGGAGAGAACTCACCTGCTGTCCAAAATACTCACCTGAGCGTAGCACTCCTCAATATATTATAGTTCGAAAGCAAAGAATGTCCAAGTCTAAGGTGATGCTGGGAGATGTTACACGGTACTTATGAGCCAGGAAAAAACCACTATGCCTGGAGGTCCCTGAATGGCCCAGACCTGGGGTGTCCCGCCCACGCCAGGCTTACACTTCTGTTGAGAATCTGCTTTACTGGCAAACATTTCTAATGTTTTCAAAGAGAAACATTTCAAATGTGGTGGTGAAACAAACATTGGTTTGTGACCCAAATGTTTCTGCAAATGTTTTCTCAGGCTTGGGGATGCAAATGTTTACAAACCATTTGGGCAGGAAAAATGCAGTGATGCGTTTCAGAAATAGTTGCTTGGGGGAAAAAAATCCCAGTGCTACCGAGTGCAGCCAGGATGCCATTAAGAAAATGTCCATGGGTTCTTTTATAGTCCACGTGACATCGCAGACACAATGTGACATCTCAGATGCATCTACTCCAGTCCCTGCCCTGCCGCTAGCTAATTAGTGATCGTGATCCCACCACTTAATCCCATTGTACCTCGGTTTCCGTATGTGGAAAAATAAATAGATTAGACTAGAAAAGATGACATCTAAAAACCATCCCAACCCATGGAGGAGACTTAAGTGGCAGGAGAGGCACATTAATATTATTTCCACTTGCCAGAAAAAGAAATTCAGGCTTGGGGGAATTAGGCCCCAAGTCACACAGCTAATCAGCAGCACAGCTTAAAGCTGCATCTCCTAAACCTGGACTCTTCTATCGCACCACACAGGCTCTCGACAGTTTTTCTGGCTCCCTGGCTTCCTGGGTGCCTCGGTAGTAAACAACGGTGTCCCCAGTCAGAGATGGCCCACATTTGCTATTTGTCCTTTCACTTTCATTTTTTTTCTCCCATGCTTTGTGTCACTCAATCTACATTGAAAAAAGAGGGCTTTTGACAAGAGCATTGAGCACCCTGGGAATGCGGTAGATGTTGCTTTATTTCAGCGCATATTCAATGGAAAGTAATAGTGGCTTCACTATAATAAAGAGCTCTATTGTGCTTTGTAATGAAGATACAAAGCACTTAGTTGAAATCACAGTCTTTTAAACTAATCTGCTTTATATTCTATAGTGGAGACCCAGATACAGGGAATTCAAAGTGATTTCTACAGAATGATTTACTCAAAGTAGCCAGACCTCCGAGTGGGAAGCTCAGTTTTGTCCAGATACTTACCTCTTGGGTCAGGGCTTCTTCTCTTTGCTCTTTTCCTGCCGTGTTTAGGCGGGCACTCTCTGATCTTTCTCAATGTTTATTCTACTTGTGAGTACTGACAGATTTCCCAGTAAAAATCATTACACGTCACATGGTCTCAGTCAGGGTACAGAATCCCACACCATCTACCTCTATAAACACACTCACATGTGCACACCAGAATACAAGACAGCTAGCTCAGGGGGAGGAGACGGAAATGAGGATTTTAAAGCCTTTAAATAAAGATTATAACTGTTATTGGACTCCACAAAGATACAGAGTAATTAAAAAGCTCTTCAAAGAAGGGAATAAGTCCATTAAATCCAGTTAAATAATTTTTCAGAAACATTTCTTGCTGTTTCGTTCTCTCACAATGAACTGGAGGAAGAATATCTCATTTTCCAAATGGGACTTTATGGAGTTTTCAATAAGTCCCCTCAGTACTTATCTAAATCTTTAATTAGTTCTATAATATACTGATGATATCAAGCCTAATTAAATTTATATAGATAAGGCGCAATGAAATTCTAACCAAGTGAGCTGGAAAGCATATATTAAATAGTAAATTTAATGGTTCAAGCTGATAACTACAATTTTATATCAAAAAATTAAATTCAATTTACATGTTGTATTCAAATTGATTTTGAGTGTGCAAATTATTGGAAAAATCTCTTGAATATATCAGTAAAATTGCTAATCCAGCCTGTTTAAATATCAGTTATTAATGTCTGCACTTGCAAATAAGCCACACACATTTGCATTTTTGCCACATATAGTAAAAAATTATCTAAACTTTATACCATTTTATTAAGAATACTAAGTGATTTTTCTTTTGGCTTCATGCATATATTAAGGAGGTAAAGAAATGACTATTGGGCCTAAAGAAGAGAGTCAGCAATTCAATATACAGCAAGGCAAAGACAATAGATATATTTTGCTGACTAAAGCAGTTGATGTTACCCTTTGGAAACAGCAATTACGATGGTAAAATTCTCCCTTGCTTTGGATCAACTAGAATGGAACCATACACAAACAGCTGATGCCATAATCACAGGGAGAGGCAGACATACACCAATTTGGTGGTGTTTACCATCAGTTTTAGGAAGCGGAGGGAAATGCAATGTTATGTTTATCAGAAGGTAAAGGTACATAACAGCTGACTGCATTTCTCAGTTCAGTCAAGGAATACGCTTGGGAAGCTATATTAAACATTCATTTGACTAGTCAGAGAAGGCCCAACCACCTACACCACATAAGTTGATTGATGCACATTTGTAAAAATTTGTGCAGTGATTACTCAGGACCAGCCATTATCTGCTTTCCCCAAAACATACCTCTATTACCCTTGGATTCCATTGGTTGGAAAGCTATCTTTGAAATTATCAAATATTTATCAAATATCCATTATATGTCATGTGTTTGCATTATGGGAGATACAAATAACATGCCAGTGACTTCAGAGAACAGAAAAATGAGTGTCAACTGGAGTAGTCAATCATTCCAGAAACGGGGTGGAAGTGTGATGCATTACGAAGAACAGGAAGCTTAAGAATAAGTCAGAACAGCCAGAACAAAGGCATGGAAGGTGGAGTACATGTAATGAGTTACATGTAAGGAGGACTGTGAGATCAGTGGGAACAGAAGTTTCTGGAATAAATAATGAGAGAAGAAGCTGGCCAGTTAAGAAAGGACAGTTATTAGGAGAACTTCTATTCAAGCCTGAAATGAATAGATGGATGAGGCATAGAGGGTGTCAGAAATTTTTGTTATGTAAAATCTAAGATTAAGGGATAGGGAGTGGAACGAAGGTTCACATTTGGCAGATCTTGAGCCTACTTTTACAGAGAACCAAAACCAAAGTGAATGAATCTGCTACTAATATCTGAAAACTTAGAGGGAGAATTGCTAGGACCAGATAAGGATGATGCAAGATCAACAGGAGCCAAGGATTACCCAGATTTCCTTGGTGAAAAGAGAATGTTGTCAAGTTTAGAAACAGGAACTTGCTTTATGAGAGAAGATGAGCTCTTTTTGAATGTACACTGTTCAATAAAGTGAAAGCCTGTGTATTCAGAGACTCTATCCCCATGGTTTTTCATTCCATTGCAGCAGCTAAGTGAAACATGAATAGCTGGGGAGCGGTGGTGAATTCTGAATGGAGGACTATGATGGAGGGCAGAGAAGAGGGAGACAGTACTACCAGGTCTGGCAAGATTATATCATTTCAGCTTTAGTATGACCACCTGTTTTTATCCCGAACTTTTAATTCAGAATGTTCCAAGGATGAGAGAGCAAATACAGAGGGCCAAAGAGAAGGGATTTAGAATCTCACAGCATCTTTTGAAAATTTGGTAAAATTATGGGCTGTCTTGCCAAAGAAAATTAACACCCACATAAGCATAGATTTTGCATAAAATGTTTGGGTGTTTAGGGACCCCCTGAAGCTCTATCATGCACTCCAAGTTAGGATTATATAGTTTATACTCTAAATATTACACACACAGACACAAAAGACATGCGCGTGCGCGCACACACACACACACACAAATATCTATATCTATATAGAGAGAGACTCATCTTTTCTAAACGAACATATACCATTAATTATGTGCATGTTTGTCTGTCTATCAATAGGGCCAAATGTAGCTTGCTTTCACTCACTTCTATTTCTGGTTAATCAGGATCTCTATTCAGACCAGATGGAAGGAAGAGAGCTGGGCAACATAAAAGTGGGTGGATCTTTCTGTGTCACAGCAAGGAAAATGAAGGAAGAACCTCACTATCTGCAGAAGTAGGAACACAGGTTACGGCATTTATCGTGTAGACCTATACATGTATATCTTTTGATGTGCACTTTGAGTGCTTCGAGAGTACTGGGTAAGCAAATGTTCATTTATCTTGATTCTTAAGGTCCTCACCTAGAGCCAGTCAAGCCCTAGAAAGATCTTGGTTCAAACTTATAGCCCAGGGATCTTACAAGAGCCCTGATTATGGCTGATGGTAATATATGCAGATTGAGAGCATCCTGTGGTGTTCCTGTCTGCTTGGTGTAGGCCTCGCATTACTATCTGCAAAGATGCGGGGTATGGGGGCCATGGAGGAGAGCAAAGAAACATAAGGTGAGAAATAGGGAAAGTAGAACAAGAGAGATGAGAAGGCAGAGGTAGGGGAGACAAAGATAGAGAATAAAATTAATGTTTTGCAAGTGATTTCTCAAAAAAGATTAATTTATCCACATAATTTAGCTCAGCACTCCAAGACAATTTAAGAGCTATGTAAAACAAATTAGAGAGGCCAACAACTTCTGAATAACTGACTCCATGCAGTGGTTCCCGAAGAGCGCAAATGTAAATATAGATGCCTGGAGTATCAACACAGCGCTCGGGGAAAATATTTTTATCCACACTGTGTAACGTCTCCTGGAATTAATAGGGCTTAAATCTTTTTATGTGTTCACAGGATCTCCATGGGAGAAGTCTCAGGCTGCTACATCTCAGGCTGCATGTTAAAATCCTAAATCTGACGTGTGAAAGTTCAGCAATGCCAATCCGCCTGGTGCAGATGCCTGGCAGTTGAATGAGTTCAGGCAGTCCCCATCTGCCAGCTATGCTAATTCTTATCCAATCAATATTGCAACTCGTAGCCTCATGCTTCCCAGACCTGCCTCTGAAAATGTGATGTCAGTTCCACTGTGCTGTCCACAGTAGGTGAAGGAGGCAGATATTGCACTGGATTCTGTTCCCATCTTGACCTTTTAAAGATGGATAGTGGAAAGACAAGTTACCTGTTTTAGTTCTGTGTTATTCACAGTGCTAGGCATCTTGAAAAGAACTCCCTAGATTCAGAATCAGGTGGTAAGTAATAAGATGCTGAGGATTACTGTTTTATAACTAGAATACTGGAAATAAAAATATGTGCTTTTTCAAGAATTCCTGGGCTCTAGTTGGGGAATAAGAACCTGTAAAAAGTCAAAAGAAGTCTTCAGTTTATTTTATTGTGGCATTCCGTTCAACAAGCTGTTTGAACCTAAGGCAACTGCTCAAGGGCATTCAGAGCAGAAATGAGAAAGATGATGCCTCCATGTAGGACCAAGAAAGCCCCCAAGGAGGGATGGGGATAACTCACTTCTAAACTGTGCCTAAAATCTTCATGGTAAAGCATACAAAGCCATGGATGCTAAAGCTACAGGAACACTGCTCTGTCTCCGTGCCTTCGTACAGCACGTGTAGAGCAGAAAATCTAACACCAGGATCTCATCTCGATTGATGCCTGTTGTAACTAATTGAGATGATACTTTTGAACCTCTTTGAGCCTCTCCACCAGGGAAAAATACTAGAGAAATTCAATTATTATTGAATTATAATCCTATAATATATTTTATCCATCATCTCATGCTTTTTGATTATCTGAGCCTGATTTCTTTTTATAATTCAAAGCGTTTCACTGAAGAAATAAAGTTACCCTGGTCTCCTTCTGTGAGGAAACCATCCCACTGAAATCCCCTTCAATGGAGCTCCCTAGGACGCGGCTCAGGGCAATGTGGGAGCAGTTTGCAGTCTTTGATTGAGAAAACTTGGTCAAAACCAACTGATATCATCTCCCTTTGGTCTTTATCCTTGCTGCTTTTCATCTCGCCCCTTGTTACTATACTCATGTTTCAAATGAGAATTGAATTCCTCTGCCTTGCCCCCTAATTTGACTCACTTTTCAATAATGTCAACTGACTATCAAACACATAAAAACTGGGAAACCAAGTGCTAGATATCCTTTTGCACGTTGCAATAAGAAGAAAAAGAACTGACAATTGCTGACATCCTCCTTGTATTTATACTAGTAGGTACTTCTGTTTGCAGTTTCATTTAATCCTTAAAACCACCCTAAAACGTAAACCAATCATTTCCATTTTAGAGATAAGACAACTAAAGTGTTAAAAGGTTAAGGAACTATACTGGAGGTTACGCAGCTACTAATAAGTGGTAGAGGTGGGATTCAACCCTGGTGTGCATTTTCTTTCCACTTTACCAAGTTGCAACACAAGAAAGTTTTGAGAAGAGACATAGAATCCTTCTGTTTATATAGACTCTATATATTATGGAACAGCTATGGATTATCTAAAGAGATGAAGCATCTCTCAGGATCTATGGATTATATACAGCTGTTGAATCAAAGAAAAAATGATTTAGCAGCTCTAAGGATCCTGATTTGATACATAATCAGAAAGAAGGAATCTATATTTCTAGATTTCAAGGGAGAATTACTGAACAAGGAAGCAGTCACTATGGGTTTTTGTTTTTCTGAATTATGTCTGTAATTGAACTGAGTATAGAGACAACACAGATAACAACTTTCCTTTAATAGGCCTATTGGTATGAATATTTATCAATTGAGAGAGATGAGATTAACAGTTGTCATGCCTAAGTCTTAGGTTCATGCTGAGATACAAATTGCCATTTCCAGGGACCTTCAGCCAAGTCAAGTCGGCTGAAGAGAGGCTGCAAGAAGGCAGCTGTCCATTTCTGTTGCCAGGGACTGGTTTAGAGGAGGGTGTGTGATACAACCTGGGCCGGTAAGACACGAGAGGAAGTCTGCAGAGGGACTGCTGGGAAATGCTTCCGTGTTGACAAAAATAAAGCACAGAAAGAGAAACAGTCTTTTTCCACTGGTTTTTGTGATGCTTGGAAATGCAGGAACCACCCTGGGACTGCAGAGTGGGATCTGGAGGAGGAAGCCAAAACACCTTGAGGAAGGAAGAGCAGAGAGCTGGCAAGAACCTGCGTTCTTAAGGACATCATTGGGCCACTGAATTAGCCAACCTTCCAGCCACTCTAGCTTGGGACTTCACATTATGCGAAATAAAACATTAAAAAAAAAGTGTTTTAAGTCACTTAAGTGAGGGTTTTCTGCTACAGGCAGTCAAAAGTATCCTAATAGATAAATTTCCTGATGTGAAAGATAAAGATACGGCTTACCTGTAATACATCTCTCCTCTCCCTAGTATTTTATTATGTTAGTGTGAAAATGCTGTTCTTCATAATTTAAATAACCTATCTAAACCACTGTTTTTACTTCCACTAATCTGCCTGCCCCCACATTTTAGGATGAAGCTATGAATTTCCCTTTTTTAAAACTTTCTTCCTCCCTCTACTGTCTACCCACTGCCCTCCACTCTGACCCCATCTTCCATTCTTCCATTTTCTCTCGGCTGCATTGTCACTTTTGCCAGTACTGTCCTGAAAACACAATCAAGTCTGCCATGCTTTGTCTGCATGATGATTCATGAAAAACAATAAAAAGTATTTCCATCAATGTGTGTGTGCTAAGTAGTGTTCAGTGCGAGGTGCAATACTGTGTAAAGGATTACATTTCCTTCTCCATCAGTCAGTCATAACTGGTGGGCCTCTCAAGGAGGATGCTTCTGGAAGTTTGCTTTGTATTTGGACCATGAATTTCTTGTACGGTTATTTTTTTCCTGGAAATTTCTGATTGACTTTTGTTTTTTTTACATTGTTTGTATTTATCATACCTTAAATTTTTTTTTTAACTTCTTAATCATACTATTCATTTTCTTGAGTCCTTTTCCCTCCAGAGACCTTCTGCCGAGGGTGTAGAATCCTGTCACTCCAACTTGGATTAGTTCTTCTCTAAGACTGCTTCACAGTGGCCCTTTCACCATTTTTTCTGAGTGGGATCAAGTGTTTTCTAGATGCTACGTTTTCTAATTTTTTGGTTTATTTACTTGCTTTGCTTGAATACATCCTCAATTACTTCCCTAGGAAGAAGAGCATGAGAAATAAACTTTCCGAATCCTTATAAATCTGAAAATGTCCTTTTCTTGCCCTTAGAATTGGCTGACACACTCTTTGGATACATAATTCTAGGTTGAAATCACTCTTCCTCAGAGCTGAGAAGACATTGCTTCGTTATTTCCTAGCACTTAGTGCCATTGATCACAAGTCTGACGCCAGCTGACTTTTTTTTCTCTCTCTCTCTGAAGCTTTTAGTAACTTTTCTTCTGGCATTCTGCAAATTCATGAGGCTGTGTTTAGGTGAGGCTTTTTTTCACTCTCTGCCCTGGCACCCAGTAGACTCTTTTACTATGATGACGAGGGCCCTTTCTCAGTTTTAGAAAAGCATTTCTACTAATTCTTCATTTATTCTGGGCCTCCAACATCCGCACCAGAAGCGTTGACTTCCGGGTAAATATTTTCTAAGATGGCTCTTTGAGGAATACATTCTGGATGCCAGCATTTTGAAGAGGTGAATAAAACAGTGCTATATGATAAATTTTCACATCTATAAAATTTTCATTAATCCCTCTGTTTTCAGTTTCTCTTGGCATTCTCACTCTTTTTTTTTTTTGAACGGTTGATTATGAGCCTGGAACGTCTCCAAAACGCTCACTGCACATTCCAGACTGAGGCTTTTCCTCACTGGTTTATCTGTTAACTGTTCCCATCTTCTTCCCATCTTCCAGAAATCTCCTGGCATCTTTTGTTCACTGGTAAATCCCTCCTATTCTTTCTCAGTTGTGGATTTAATCCTTTTTATTTCTCTATGAAAGTACAGTAGTTGGGTCTGTCATCTTGAACTTTACATATTATTTAAACCTTGCAAGCTCTGTTAAAAATCCTGGAGATGACGCAGAACATTTGAAAATAACTTCTAATGCATGGCACTGAAACTCAGTGTACTATCAGGGAGGAGCACGGTATTGCTTATTTGGGGTACCTAAGCAGGCACACAGTGAGGAAGAAGCTGCCGAAGCTGTCCACCACGCTTAGACAGAACAGTTTTCAAACTGCTGTCATCTCCGGAAACAAATAAAGAAGAGAGATGCTGGGCTCTAATGTGCTGACTCTTAAAAGTACAGGATGCTTTGAGTCCCTAGGTCCAGTCTCACTGAGAGGCCCAGCTGCTTCCACAGGTAGCAAGGGGACTGTCATACTCCATTCACCAGCAAAGTCACCCAGCTCAGAGCTGGGCTGGTCCCAGCTGGCGTCACTGCTGCGAGGGTGGTGATGAGAGTAGCAGTAAAGGGTGTCAGATGGTTCTGAGCCTGGGGTGGCGAACAGCTTCTGCACCTTGATATGGCATGGAGAGGTGTCAATCGGTCCCATTAGCAGCAGGAACACAGTGGCAGGGGCAACAGCTTGTATGTGATGGTGATGACAGCAGCGACATTAAGAACAGGCTGGCAGCTGCCACAGACAGCAGAGTAGCAGCCGCTGGACAGTGACAGCAGCTACAACTGCAGGAGAAAGTGGTGACAGACTTATGCCACAAATACCTAACACTTTAATGTAATATGTTGAAAATTGCTTTCAATATACGGAATATTGCTTTCTAGGTAATGTGGTTATAAGATAAGACTTCAGTTTGCTTAAAGATGCTTATGACAAGGGGCCTCTTCCTAACACCATGGTCAGAGGACCTTACAAAGAGCCTTTGTCACCATCTCTGTATCACTGATTCTGAATTTCAGCTTCCAAGGGGTTAATTTGTTTCTAAAAAGACTAGTATTTCCAGGAGGACTGTACTCTTTGTTGTCATCAGGTGGCAATAAAGAGTCATAATTTATAATTCCAGATCATTCAGGTTACTAGGGAAATCAGACATTTAGTATTTTAAAATACAACTTTGTAACTAACTCACCGTCTGCTTATTAAAACAATCTGAACCGAGAGATTCAGTAACAAATGAAAGCTTAGAGAAGAAAAATCTTCATTGCAAATACAAAACAAAAGAATTCCCTTGAATTTCTTTAGCTGTTCTTAACTTAATGGATCTATAATGGAGTCTCAGATTCACTTGCACAGAAGTTTCTTTCCCTTCATTAGATGCATCTATTTTAACTTTGGAATTGCTATTTCTTCAGCAGCTTATCGCAGCATAGCTCCTTTCTATAATAGGAATGTCTTCCTCCAGCTGGGTTGCAAATGTGTGTCAGATTTTGAAGTAGAAATACCTGTTTCTATCCTCCCAAGTGTAATCTACTCTTTCTCTAGCTGGAAGTTCTTTAGTCCTAATTAGCTCCATAATCAACTCTTAATAATGATTTAAAAAATCACCAGGACTACTAAAACATTCCCTTACTTCCAGAGGCAGTGTTACAAACTTTGTGTCTGTCTCTCCTCAACCACAGAAAGTTTTTCCCTTTTGGGGTTGGGATGGGGAGGCGGGAGGGGAGGGGGGAGAGAGAAAGAGAGAGCTCCCTGCCATTCTTTATCACTACTCTCAATTTTTGTTCCTATTAGATTTTTTTAAAAAACAGCTTTATTAAGATATAATTCACATACCATTTAATTCACCCATTTGAAGAGTACAAGTCAATGGTTTCTAACATCTTCATAGATATGTGCAACCATCACTGCAGTCAACTTAGAACATTTTCATCATCTCAAAAGAAACTGTACCCTTTAGCCATCACTGCCCTGTCTCCCTGCTCCCCACCTAGCCCTAGGCAACCGCTTACCTACTTTCTGCCTCTGTAGATTTCCCCGTTCTGGACTTTCATATGAATGGAATCATATGATCTTTTGTGACTGGCTTTTTTCACTTAGCATAATGTTTTCAAGATTCATTCATATTGTCGCATGTATCAGTACTTCACTCTTTTATGGCCAAATCATAGTCCACTGTATGGATATACCACATTTGTTTATCCATTCAACCAATGATGGACATATGGGTTGTTTCTATCTTTTAGTTATTATGAATAATGCTCCTATAAACATTTGTGTATAAGTTTCTGTGTGAACAAATGGTTTTCATTTCCCTTGGGTATAGACCTAGGGGTGAATCTTATGAGGTTTTAACATCCTTTCTTATCTTAATCCTCTCCCTCTTAAGTCTTATCACACTGAACTGCTCACATTACTGAGTCCAGCCTGCTCCACTATGTACAAGCAGGAACTGCATCTTCACCTTTGAAGCTCCAGGAATGGTCAGCTCTCACGTACGTTCAGTAACTATTTGATGAATGAATGAATGACCCTTGCCAATTTGTCACAACCACCTCAAGCAACTGGCTTCTTTAGGAAATGCTTCAGATACTGAAACAGTTTAAATTATAAGTTTTTGTGCTTTACATGGCTTTATTCATTAAGGAAATCAGTGGTAAGAAGCTCCCAATGGTAGATGGTTCCAAAGATGTATAAGAACCTGAGAACAGGCTGCTGTAAAAGGACCACCAAGGTGCTAAAGTGAGACAGACATGTAATGTACGATAAACAACAAAGACATTAAGCAACGTATTTTGGATAATGAGAATATGTCATCCCTCAACGTAAGAAAGATTACCCATTGGATTTGCCATGTCTTGGTCTAGACAAGGTCTTTCCTTTATCAAAGTAAGAGAAAACCACCTAGGTAGGTTTCCCATGCTCAAGAGTTCTGCTTTGCCCTGCTCCCTCCTAACTGCCTAGAAATCCCTGGGGTCTGAGGGTCCTCTCATGTCTAATCACCAGATATGGCTATGTAACTGAGAATGTTCTTTCAAGGCAGATGGCAGATGTCTAAATTAGACTAGATTCCTCTCAGGGAGAAAGTAAGAATTTGAAGGTTTTGTGTAAGTGACCCTAACACTAAACCTCAGCTCTCCTCCAAATTGGTCAGATATATAGATTCTCTCTGTCTATCTGGCACTTTAAGGGTACTTCTCTACATTATCATCATGAACTCTGTGGCTCCGGAGAAGAACCCGTATACCCTGTGGAGAGATCTTCATCAGAGGCAGAAAACTAGCACCCGGTCCAGCATTTAACAAAGTAATGACCTTCATCTTCCAAGTCTGGGCCACTGCACTGTGCCTACTGGAACAGGAGTCCAGCTGCCCTCCACACTGGCGCTCATCTGAGAAGTCCAGGTGCTTCTGCTAAAGATTTGACTTTCTGTTCCTTAGTAGCAGGAGAAGTCTCCCCGGACAATATCTTCCTCTCACATAATCATAGTTCTTATATTTTGTTTTGACTTAGAGTTTAGTAGATTTTTGATAGTAATTAATTGTGTTATTTCTACTTCAATTTACCTAAGAAAAAAGATTCAAATTGATGTGGGCAGAGCAGATATTTATGTAGAGAGAATATGGCAATATCAATATCAAAAGCTAATAAAACTAATAATCTTTCTGTATGTACTTAGTAACAAGGACACGAGTATGTATAGACAGTGAACAGCAGTCATAATTATTAGCACACAGTAATTTCTGTTTATAAAGCAGTGTTCAGCAGCAATATTATTCTAGTCTCAGACAAGCAAATATTATGCGGAGGGGGGTCAACAAGAGAGCCTCAGGGTTGTATCAGAAACTGGGAGAGGAGGTTCAAACCACACACGATGCCCCTTCTCCCCGGGACACCTGTCATCGCCCTAGGGCATCACTGTATCTAAGGTGAATGTGAACTATGAGAGCTTCTGACATCAGCCTGCAGGAGGCATCAACCAAGATCTCCATGAGGGAGCCCTGAACAGGGAGTTAGGAAATCTGGGTTCTAGTCCCATCAGGCTCATTCACTGGCCAGTTATTCCATCTCTCTGAGCCAGTTTCCTGCCAGTTAAAGAAACGGGCGA